TTTTCTTTCTCCTTTAAAAGAAAAGGAAAAAATATTTAAAAACACAATAAAAATTGTCTAATTAATTTGTAAATCTATTATTTTGTGAAAAATATATAAAGAGACTTTTATTTATGTTTTTAAATTTTTTAAAATTAATTTTAAAATAAAAAAATTTAAAAATAATTTTTTTTTCAAATATTTATATAAACACTACCCAAGACAACTGAAAAATAGGACACTGAAAAAAATGAAGATGATGATGGTAGTGAGACTAAAACCAGACAACAGAAAGAGGGAACAAAGACAGTGCTTCTCATTTTAGCTCTAGAGGAAAAAGTATAAAGCAGTGGTCACCATTTAACCAAATTGTAAGGTATCCATTCAAAAGGTAACAATCATAGGTACTTCTGGCAACTAAAAAATATATATTAGCATTTTTTTTATTTAAAATTTAGTCTCTTGTTAAGGATACTGAGATATAGTAAGTCTTATTAAAATTTAATTTCAATATAATATTAAATTTATGTTAACCTTTCAACTTTAAACATATCATTTCAAATAATGAGATATAAAAACCGTCATTATACATATAATGCATTGCTTGATTAGGTTGTATTTATAGTTTTGGATTATAGTATTAATTGTAATTGCATAAAGTTAAACCAAAGGTTCCTTGATTATTGGAGAAAACACCTTGAGTTGAGAGCTTGCAATATAAAAAGGTTGCAGGTGATTTTTTTGCATTGATGCAATAACGTGTGCTGTCAATCTTGTCCTTTTTCTCGGCCATCTCACTGTTGGAAGTGTTCATTAAGATAAGGGAACATCTTCCATTCATTCTTAAATCTAAACCTTTTTTTTTAACATTCTTTTAAAGAATCAACCCATGTTCCCAATAATAATGCAAATAACAATATGTTCACACATTTAATTAGTGAAATACAGCACAATTAATCACTATAGATATATATAATAGGGTTAAATATGTTTTTAGTCCTTAAACTATTTGCTGTTTCTGGTTTTTGTCCCTCTTTCAAAATAAGGTACAATTTGGTCCTCATTCTTTTCAAAATTTTGGTTTTATTCTTCGAAAACTAACACCGTTAAAAATGTGGTAGTTTTCGAGGTTATTTTTCGAGGACTAAAATCAAAATTTCGAGAACTAAAACTAGAGTTTTGAAAAGAATAAGGACCAAATTATATCTTATTTTGAAAGAGTGACGAAAACTAAAAACGGTTTTAGGGATTAAAAACATATTTAACCCTAGATAATATACAGATTATTAATTTAAAATAATTATTTAGTAGTTTGGTATGTTCTATCGAAATAAGTTTGTGATATGATTTTAAAGTGAACTATTATTGGGTGTAGCAAATGATGAGTTGGTGTCGGCGAGTTATTGTTGATAAAATATAGAAAATGGAGTTATGTTATGATGTTGAAATATAGTTCTTATTGAAAGATAACTTTTTATCACCATTGAAGTGTTCCGCCAGAAATTGAGTGAATCATTTTATGTTTGATTTTCGTTTATCATGTTACAAAGTTTTTTTCCAGTTTAATGCAACATATATAAATGTTCGTAATGTCTTGTGACTGGAAACATTTTAAGTGAATTTTTTTGCTGGGACTACGAAAATATTGAAAGAAAAAAAAAGGTATTTTAATTATTTTTTACATTGATTCGTATTAGACTATTCAATGTACAGGAATAACATTTTATTTGTTTTTTATTTTTCAAGTTGAAGGCTAAAAGAATGAATAAAAGAGATAAATACTTTTTTTATTTTCCAAGTTTAAGGCCAAAACAATGACAATTCTTCTTTCCAATCTTCTTTTTATTCCAACAATGGATTCATTGTTTCAACTTTGAAATCACATCTTAAAGTTAATTTCTATGATATTATCCGTTTTAAAATCTGAAATTATTATTAAAAATTTATGCTTAAAAGGTACCTCAAAATATTGAGGGAAGAATATATAAAATGAGATACCAAATCGAAATTCACCGAATCTCACTAAATTAAAATATTTATCTGGTTCTTGTATTTATTAAAAATTAGGTTATTATTAGTCTTAAAGATTTTTATAAAGATCTTTATTTTTAAGATGGGTAAAAATTAGGTCTTTTTTATTAGTATTGTATTTATAATATTATATTAAATATGTGTCAGATGTTAGTTTTATTTTATTTTATTTTACCTTTTAAAAAAGTTAAGTTTTTTTTATTAATTTATTTTAATTAAAAATATATATAATTTTCTACATATTAAGTAAATATCAGGTCAAGTGTTAAGTCTGAATCTCAATTTGATTTTTATATTTATTATTTTGATTTAATTTTGTTTTAAATTTTTTAAATTAAAAAATTTTGTTTATTTTTAAATTGAGATTAAATTTAACTTTTATATAAATTTTATAAAAATATTTTTATTAAAATTAGTATTTTAATTAAATATATTTAACAAAATTAATTTTATTTAAATTTATATTTATATTAAAATTTATTTATATATTGTTTTAAAACTTTAAATGTATTTCTGTAGATATTATATTACATCAAACATTAAATACATTTTTATTTGAATTTATATTTCAAATAATTAAATATAATTTATAAAAATATAAGTTTATATTTCAAATACTTGTATAATATTATATATTAATACTTTATATACAAATGTTAAAGTTGGTTTAAAAACAATAATTTTATAAATTCAAAGATAAATTTTATTTTAAAATTTATATAAAAATTTTAAATTTAAATAAATTTAATATTGTTAAAAATATTTCTCTCTTTTTAATAAACTCACACCCACCCATCAGAAGCCTTTCGCTCAACGAGTCGCCCTAGCGAGGTGCTCTCTGTCAGGGCATTCGCATAGCAACTCGATGCGCGATGGGAATTATAACAGAGAGTTGCTCTTTGTTTGGTGAGTTGCGTAGCGAATGAAGTCGCTTTGCGACTGTTGCTAGCTTGGGAAATTAGCCAAATAAATAGAATAGCGAAGAATGGCGCATAGCGAGAATTTTAGGGGGTTGGTCTCTGTCTAGGCTCTCGCATAGCGACCTGCGCTATGCGAGAGGTTGAAAGTCTGATGCGTGTTGTGTGTTAATTCGCATGGCGAATTAGGGGGGGTCCGCTGTGCGAGACCATCCTGTCTCGCCTTGCAAATAGGGTGCGCTATGCGAACCCTTTGGGTTCAGTTTTCTCTTTTGCTCTTGTTTCAGATGAATTAAGCGTGTGGAATGATTGAGATGCATAGTATGATGGTAGTAATGTTATTGAACTGATAGTATGTGATGGTATGACACATGTTTGGTGGTGGAGTGTAACAAGTATGGTTGATGGACGTAATTCCATGATCTTCAAGGAGAAGATCCATGGTGATGTCCTTAGTTGTTTAGAATGAAAGTAGGAGCTCAGTCTTGGGGGTCATCCTGAAACTTCAATGGTCTTTCTTCTCACGTAGAGAGGATTGAACCATGTGGTGAGGAGTAGCAGGAGGTCCTAGTCTTGGGTGCTTCCAATATGGTCCAAGGTGAGTGATAATAGACTAACCTCGTGAGTGTGGTAGGATGGGGAAACCCAAGTTTCATAAGCCACTACGAGTGCAAGACTTGCCATAGCTCGACTATCATTCTAAAGTCTGGACGAGTCAAGTCTAGTATTCAACATGTTAGGATGCATGTTTACCTTGCTTGATTGAAGTTAACTCTTGCATGCATATTGTCATATTGTATGCCTTTTATATAATTAGCTCACCCTTGCTTGTTTGTGTTGTTTGTGTATGATTCCTTTTGCGATGATCATCCACTTGGATGAGAGCAGATGGTGAGGAGGTTTCTTTGCAGACGACTTTAGAAAAAGACGACGATGCTGCAGTTTAGGCTTCCTAGGGGTTTCTTAGTTATTTGATGATAATTTGAAATACTTTATCTCTTTAAGTTTACAATTTAGACCTCCTTTATTAAATTTGAAATTCTAAAATTATTTTAAGGATGACTGTAATCCTAATTACTCTTTATTGCTTTCCTATATTATGCATAATGACGTATTTATTATATATGTTTTTCTATATAATTGGGATGTCACAAAGTCAACATTATTTCAAGACAAAAATAAAATATGAAAAAAATAGTTATAAAAAGGAAAATTTAAATTTAAATTGTTAATTTTTTTATATGATATCCAAAATTATTTAAAAATTTCCAATTTTTTTAAATATCCAAAGCAAATAACATGTTTTATTATAAAATATTTCAACTTTTCTATAGACTAAATTATTCTTTACAACATTCTCATGCAAATAACATGTTTTATTATAGATTGTTCGCTTGAGAGGAATTATCTGTTCAGATAGAACAGTGCAAATGAAAAAGAAGCGCATATGAAAAAGAAAGATTATTTGTGTTCGCTTACAAGGATCGGAAAGAAAGGAAAAAGAGAGAAATTAGGGGTTGTTTTCAATCCTGGTATATACGAGATGATTTGCATAGAATAAGAACCAATTTTCATATATTTGTCTTGTATTTTATATTTTTTTCCTCTTATAATAATAATAATAATTAATAATAATAATTATTATTATTATTTCAATTTATTAAATTACTATTTTTATATTTTAATAATTAATTTAATTTTTTTATCTTTATAAACATTTTTATAATTAAACATATCATTTTATATTATTTTTATAATTAAAGACATTTAGACCAAATTAAACAATTTTTTTATACGTGACATTCCTTAAATTTTATTCTAATTTTTATAAATTTTAATTCAAATGAATTCTAACTCATTTCCAAATTCACTCAACTAAATAAAAATAATAATTTACCTTTCAAATCCTTTCTCTTTTCCTCTTCCTGGAATCATCTCTTCATAAATAAACACCTCCTGAGAGATATTGTTATAAGTTGCTTTGAAGGTTGTTGGATAAAGGATGTAATTATAACATGCGAAGAATTAAATCCAATCAAATTTATTATAAAGGTAATTTAACTTATTTTATATTTTAATTTTGTATCAATTGGCTCTAGAACATTGTTCTCATTTCTCGATAATCCCAGTAGCACAGCAACATTCTCAGATTCTACTGCCACTACAACAGAACCCCAACATCTCAAAATTGATAGTGTATCTTGTTCATTTCCTCTAATCTATGGATTCTGAAAAAGCATTAGAGCTTGTCAAGCACGGTGTCACTCTTCTCTTCCTCGATGTTCCTCAGTACACCATGGTCGCCATCGATACTCAGGTACTTCATTCTTCTATTATTTTCTGATTGCCAAGTGATTGTCTTTTTATTTTCTTTTTTATTTCAATGCTGTCATCATGGTATCTGAAAATAAAATTTGAAATTCGTGGGGGTGGAAAGCTAAATAAAAATCCAACCTTGATTTCAGCCTTTTTTCACACTGGCAATCTGACATTGTTTTTCTTCTGTTCTTCGTAGATGTTCTATGTGGGGCCTGCTTTTAAGGGTATTAAGATGATTCCTCCTGGCACTCATTTTGTGTACTATAGTTCATCAAGCAGGTTTGATCATCTTGCCCAATTATCCAGACCTATTTTTTAACTCGCATTAGTCTCTCTTTTGTTTAGTTCTTTTTATTCCTGCAAACTCATGTTTCCCTTGTGGATATATTGGGGAGCCTATTAGTAGATTAAAGGCAATGATAAGAGAGTGGTGGGTGTTCTTGTGTGTGATAAGACATTGCTTTTCCTATACTATTGTCTTTTCTGCGAGTATTAGTGTCCTTTCAATTTTGTGTGCTATGGCAAAGTGTATTTTTTGGGAAATAACCTTGGATCATAGTATTTGAAATGATTTATCTCTTTCACATGGTCTCTCTGTTATCATGTTTGCTGACCATATAGTGTTAAGCATAAGACGACACTGGTTCTGTCGGTTGCTAGAATTAAATTTCATGATTTTTCAAATTATTTCGTGCATTGAATCTTCTGTTATTCTTTTGGGGGATTCATGCAGAGATGGGAAAGAGTTCTCACCAATTGTTGGATTCTTCATTAATGCTGGCACTTCAGAGGTATAAAAATTAAAATTTCAGTGTCTATAATAGTTCAATGAAATTTACATTAATTTTGGTTTGACAGAGCTTTAACAGAATATGTTCTATAGTTTAGAAATTACTATTGTTACCGTATCTTGGTGTTGTAATTGCTGTTCTTATTATTTGTCAATGCAATCACAGTTCAGATGAGTTGTAATCTATATGCTTAGTTTTTGAATGATTTTGTTACTATTTTGATGAAATGGATTTTTGCTATGGTTTTTTGATAGATTCTCAGGAGTTCATTGTCTTTTTACTGGCCTATTGGAAAATGTCCATGATACGTCAAAGCTTAAAAATTTAAGAAATGAATTAGTTTTGAGTAACACTAGTACTAATTTTATGTAGATGTTAACTCATAAGAGGGTAAAATGACTGTTAATTGTGCTAGAATCTTACCTGTGACTCTATTTCCTTGCGGAATGATGGTGAAGTTAAATTTATTACATTTAGTCATATCCTTCTTCATGTGCAATTTTTTTCTTACCTGTACATAATCATGTCTTTCAATAATTTGTGTAAGTGCACTTTAACCATATTCATTATAAGTAAAAAGATATCTAAATATGAAGACAATGTTATAAATGTGGGAGGTAGGAGTTATCTAAAAAAATCAAGACCATGAAGAAAGGTGAATAAAAATGTTAAGAACAAGAAACATCCAACACAACTTGCTAATTTCTCTGTAAATCTAACAAAGACACTCCTTTAAAAAAGCCACCAGCATAGTGTCACCGATAATCAAGGGGAAATACTTAATCTATTAATCAATGCTCATATGTTTTGACCCTGTTTGTGGTTAATTTGTATTTCCAAAAATGTATTACAAAATTGTGACTGATTATCTGGTTTTTGGTCTCATGACCATGCAGGTAATTGTTCGTAAATGGGACCAACAAGAAGAAAGGTTAGTTAAAGTTTCTGAGGAAGAGGTATGTGTTCGTTTAAAATTTTAACATAGATATTATTAACGTAACATGTCTGTAATGCAGCCAAATGTCATGATTGATATAGTTTACGTCCTGTTAGTCAAATTAGGTTATAGTGAGAACACTATTTGGGAAACTATAATTTTAGTGAATTTCCTTCACATAGCTTGAGCATTTTTGTAGAAAATGTGGGGTATTCCCTAAAATTCCATCCAATCAGTGCTAATCTGTGTCTGCGTTTATATATTAGCCACAACTTACAAAGGAAATAATTTTTATGCTTTCATTTCTTTTTATTCCATGCTCTTCAATTTATGACATATATTTATTCTGTTTTGTTTGTCTGTCCTTTAGGAAGAAAGATACAGTCAAGCTGTTAATAATTTGGAATTTGACAGACAACTTGGGCCTTACAATCTTAGCCATTATGAAGATTGGAAACGGTTATCTAATTTTATCACAAAGAATGTCATTGAACGGCTTGGTATGCCATTTACTTGACTGAGGTTTCTGTGTATTAAATACTTCATTGATAAATTAGTATTGTATTATATTGTTAATGTTAACTCATGAACAGAGCCAATTGGAGGTGAAATCACTGTTGAATGTGAAAATGAGATTGTTAGAAACTCTACTAAAATCCCAATGGAAGAAGCACCAGAGAAGCAGTTGAAGGTTGGCAATTCTGCATCATCTGTTGGCAAGTCTCAGAGGAAAGGATGTTATTATACTTCAATTCCACGTGTTGTTAAATGCAAGGGTATTAGTGGGCAGGAACTTACTTCTTTAAATCTTGACAAGGTTGGTATACACACATTGCTGAATGTTTGGTCCCTTAAAAGTAATTGTGATAAAAAGCTTACTATAATCAATTCTCTTACCCTGAAATTTTACATATTATTGGTTGCTGATTTGTACACTTTTTTTTTTTTTTTTTTGTGTTCCTTCTCAGACACAATTGTTAGAAACTTTACTGGCAAAAGATTATGGCGGTTCTGAAGACATGCTTCTTGGAGAACTGCAGTTTACATTTGTTGTCTTTTTGGTACTGTGGACAAACATATTTTCTTTATATATTTTGTTGAATTCAATGTGACATTTTGCAATGGTGCAGATGGGTCAATCGCTAGAAGCATTTCTCCAATGGAAGTCATTAGTTAGCCTTTTGTTTGGCTGCACTGAAGCAGTAAGCATTACTTTTTAACCAGATTGGATAATGCATACATAGACTCTGTGCCTAGACTTTAGACTTGCTGGTTTATCTCATATACTTGTGTGTGTGGATTACTCATAAACCAACTATCTCAAAACTTCAAGCAGTTAGGTGAAGCCATGCAAGTTGTTTTATATTGCATCTCTAACATGCACCCGTACGCAAGAACCCTTTGGGCTTGAAGGGTGGATAACATCCCTACCCATTGAGCTCAATGTTAGAAGAATCAGGGTGGCAAATATTGAGCTTAAGACCATCTGATCATAGGGACTTTGATACCATGTTGTGAACCATCCCAAAATGTTTTAGCTGTTGGGTGAAGGCAGGGGAATGTTGTGAACAAATGTTGAGCTCAATATTAGAAGAGTCAGGGTGAAAAATATTGAGCTGAAGACCATCTGATCTTAGAGACTTTGATACCATGTTGTGAACCATCCTAAAATGTTTTAGCTATTGGGTGGGCAGGGGAATGGTTTCATATTACATCTGTAACAATCTGCTTTTCTTCCACCTCAAACAATAAATATATTGAATTGATGATGTTGAATATATTAAAGCTGTTTATCAAACTTTCCAAGCTATATGAGATGTCTATATTTAATTACTCATAATAATTGAGTTATTAACCATTATGATTTTCGTTAATCTGTTGTTCATTACAAGCAATATATGTGCGTGTGTGAACAACTAACATTCATCCTTTGAATTTATAAACTCGTTATTGTTCTTGATTATTTTATTAACAGCTTGAGCTTTAATTGAATTGGCTCCATGACATCTGCTTAATGTCTGTTGTTGCTCTATACTCAATGAGTACTTCTGTTTTCTTGGATGCTTATTTGGTCTTTCAACTTGGTGGGTCAGTTTTTTAAGTTCTTTATTCTAACTTGGATTCTGTGGGCTTTACCATTTTTACTTTGCATCATTTGCCAGAGGGTTCCTCATCGTTTGAGATTTGTGCTTCTAGCCAGAAAGTAGATATAAGCATAATAAGAGACATCATTGTCTATTCTCTTTTATGGAGATTTCTGTAATATTTTTTCCCATGAACACAGATTGCTTCTTTCTTAGGACATTTTATGGTGGTAGAACCTCAGTTTTTTGTTAGTAGTCCCATGTTAAATAGGATAAATTAATTGGATATAGATACAAGACCCTTGTTAATTTTGGTAAGATATCTATTGTGGGATGTGTGGGTGCAAATCAATTTGAATTTGTATGATTTCATAAGTATATGTTTTGTGATTATGTTTGCATGACTTTGTATGTTCTTTTGCAGCCTTTCCGCACACGAACTCAACTATTTACAAAGGTGAACTTTTAATATAATTTTCTTATCTTTGTTACCTTTAAGTACAAAACAGTGGCATTAATCCTTGGAATGGTGTTAAATTCATCCCTGGACTTCTGAATGTAGTCTTGGAACTCCAAGCTACTGATTATTCATTAAAAGAAGAGTCATGATCTTGAATCTTGTGTTATTTGTCAAACTCATTTCAATTTTGGAAAATCAGAATTTTCACCTTCACACCTTTTGTGGTTTGGGATGTGAAAGACGGGGAAAATAAAATAAGTTCCATTTAGATGACTATATGCAGTCCTAGAATTAAGGGAGAAGAAGTGTTTGGCAGACCATTCTAGTCTTGATATTTTAATGTGTGGACAGTATTTATCAGAACAAAAAGATCTGCAGAATAATTCAAGAGAGGCAGCAAATAATATGAATTATAATATTGTTCATAAGTTTAATGTGCTAGTTATTTGGGATAATTTATATTTTCTAATTTTTCTTCTTTGACTATTTGTAATATGTAACTTTTTATTAAGATCCTGTCTGGATCATTATGTACGTCAATTTGATTGGATTTGTTTTTTATCAGAACCTGTCGCTTTTTAAATTTCATGGTATATTTGAGATGTTTTCGTTAATACTTTAAAGTTAGTCTAAAATTCTAGTACCTTACCTGCTCTCTCGTTTGCTGATCTTACCTTGCCAAACTCATTTCTAATGCATTACGGATTCTTGCAGTTCATCAAAGTCATCCATAATCAACTAAAATACGGACTACTGAAAGATCACATGGGTGAAACAGGATCAGCAGTGTTGGATGATTCTTTGATTTCCGCTGATAGCTTTTTGCACCATGTTTGCAAGGTATTTTCACTGATGATAACTGAATAGTCACATGCAGATTTAACTCTCTGACTTACCTTTATTAATTATAAGTAGCTGGATGGGCACCTGTTCTGGTCAGTTATGGATTTTAAGATCCTGAAATTCTAGAACTCGTCATTTTATCATAAAAAACATAGTCAGTCTCCAACATGGAGGTTAGCAGTTCATATATATGTGGCCGGTCTTCTTGATTTATCATGGTTAACATCTTAGATTGTGTATTGTTTTTCCTCGAGTTGATATTGCCTCCACTTTCTGATCATCCTTATCTTTGTAGTAGTTAGTGCCCATATGCCCAAAACTGTTAAAATGAGCAACTCATTCCAAGGTGAAAATAAAAAAAAAAGTTCATAATTTTCATAAGAATAATGTAGGTTTTTCAGAATGCACTTCCTTTCCTTAATGAAAATCAATTTCCCAGATTTTAAGCATACCCATCCTTCCTACTGGAATCAGCATCCCTATTCCAGAGTAACAAAATTAATGTGTGCTTATAACAAACAGACGTGGATGTAAGAATGATAGAATATAAAGATGATTTTGTAAGAACTAACTTCTACAAACTTTTCAAGGAAGCCTTGGTCAGGGTAAATGAGGCTAGAGGAAATTTCCCCATTCTTGTTCTATGATTCAGTTATCCTCCTTACTAGGCAGGTTTTATTTTGGGGAGGCATTTGATTCTTGTGGACCAGTTGCCCAAAAGTATTGTTTGTTTCTTCCTGTTAAATATATTGCGTTTTGTGTTAACCAGGGAACGTAGACTTTTGTTATTGTTTGATATTGGTAGATGTTGTTGAGATTGTTTTTTTTAACAATATATTCTATTTACCATATTTATGTTTGGTTGCAATATACACTTGTATCATTCTTCATTATAAATATATTACCCTATGTGTGTTTTAGACACAAGGGAAATTAATTCTATACCTAGTTTTACTATATTTAACACTTCTAATACTAATTGATTATTACTTTACTGTCACATAAATTTGATTTTATATGCTTTTCTGAGCTAAACTGCAACTTATTCCTTTTGATTGTTTTGGAATTGCAGGACTTCTTTTCATCATTGCTAGATGGGTCGGTTGTTGATGGAGATCTTTTAAAATGGGTATGAGCATGTAACTCATGTTTTCATATAATGTGATATTTATTATTGATATTGTACCCTCCCCAACTGCCAAATAATAAAGCATTGATGTTTTTAAAAAAAGAAAAAAGAAAGTGAAGAGTAAAAAAAGTATTAGAATAAAGGGACTTCAAGATGCGCTTCATGTGCTTGAAATGCATAATGCAGGAATATAATATTTGATGGATAGATTTTTAAATTTTTCATAGAAATTTTTTTCTTTTTCAGGATATGTTGGTTCTCCACGTTATTTATATGAATTTTTAGGCTGAAAACACGTTGATATGGTATATACAATTGCCTCTATGAACAATCTCTGTCATTATTTAAGGAGTAGCAATTCTAGCACCTTAAACACATGCATGCACTAATTTGAGATTATTATGTGATAGGGTTTAAACTATAAAGTACAAATGCCAAGTCTATAGTGACTATCTATGCTTTTGCTTTATTTTGCCTGCTATAAAATTGGTTGCAGACTTGCAGCATTTGCTGCTTGCTAGGTACAATGTACATGTATTTGATTATTTATGAAGAGGAAATTGTAATCTCCCTGTTCTTGCAGACAAGGAAATTTAAGGAGCTGTTGGAGAGCAGTCTAGGGTGGGAGTTTCAGCTTGGCAGTGCTGTTGATGGGATATATTTTGAGGAAAATGATGAGGTCAGTATATGAATCTATCTCAGTTGCTTTGCTTTGTGTATGTTACTTTTTGCTCTGTGTAATGTTTGTTTGTTCATGGGCCTTACTGGTTGACTTTGCAGTATGCTCCTGTAGTTGAGATGCTGGATGATGAAGCTCTAGTAAGTTAAAAATGTTGATAATGTCTTCACTTGGCTATAACAGATACTAAATCATGAATGTCATGCCACTTTGCGTTGCCCTTTGGCCTACTCACTCTCACAGCCATACCCTTCTCATAGATTGTACAGTAGGGCATACCAAAGCTCCACCATTGCAAACTAACTATAAGATCATGTTACTGTATTTCAAATTTCAATTGAGTTAAAAGTCATGTTGGATCTGAAGTAGAAATTCAGTAACTTTTCTTTTTGGTGTGATAGACTTTCAGTAACTTTGATGGAGGTTGATGTTCATTTTTCAGAGCTGCTCATACTTGGTATTTTTCTAGCTTTCATAGATTAGGGCATACATAGGAAACTTGTGGATTTATTTTGTCTTGTTTGAGGAGTTGCTGAGTGGAGTATTGGCCTTTGAAATTGAGACAATGAGATAATCAGAAGCAGATAAATTGTTCTCCATATATGACTTGAAAATAAGAAAGAACCACTATTTTATGATGAATTCTTTGTTTTTTTCTTTTCTATTTTTTCTTCTATGGCTCTTCTCTCTTGTTCATACACTCCAAACATTTGGTATATTTTTATTTCATTATTTTGCTGAACTGTATTAAAAGGTTGTATAGTGGACATTGGCATCACTTATATATGTTTGACATCATGCAAACTTTAAATTATTAAAAATTAACTTGATGACAAAATTGCTCTTAGGTGAATAAAAAAGGGCTTTTTGTTCTCATTTTTAACATTTACATGACAACTAAGGCTGCCAACTTGTTAGGTTTTAATGTTTTTAATTATATAAAGTAGAAAGTTATTATTTTTACATGTCAAATTACTCAATTCCAATTGACCATTGAAACTTAGTTAGAATATTTTATCATATTAGTGTTTTGTTTGATTGTTTTAGAACGTGAGCTTAATTTTGACGTTGAAATATAATGTTAAATTTCCTTGCACCATTGTTTATTCCTGTGTTCACACTTCATTCAATAAATTTAGTCATATTAATGATCAATGAAGTTAATGTCAGGTTATTAAATACAAAGAAAGGGAAATATATTATTTAATGCATGTCGGTTTTCTTACGCTTACAAGTTATTTAAATAAAATTCATAAAATGTCTCATTTTCTTATAAAAGTTGGTAAGACATGATAAATCTTTGCAATATAATGATAAAACATGCACGAAAAAAACTCACTGATAAAATGCGTCCAAAAAATTGAATGATTAAGTATGTGAAAATTACAAATTGATGAAATAAGAAAATAAAACATGTGAAACTATTGTGGTGTAATTAAATTATTTTTTTTTATTAAAATTAATAATAAAACTATGACTTAAATATGCTTTCCATCTTCAAATAATTATAAAAAATTATGTCTTGTTCCTAAACTAAATCATATAGAACACTTTCTCAATAAACAACATGTTCATATCACAAATTTGGCTATAGTTTAGTTTAATAATGAAACAATTTTTTATAATAATTTGAAGCAAAAAATATATTTAATCCTTAAAAGATTCTTTCATAACTTCCAATATGATATATTACATAAATTTTAGATTTTTCTTAATTTCTTAAAGACTTTGATTTGTTCCTCTTTATAACAAAAAAAAAATAAACTTTAGGTAACAAGTCCTTACACAAAAATGAATTAAAGAATGAGTCTTTTATAGATTTAGGTCTTAAATAATGAATTGGGTTGATTCAGAGTAGATTGATGCCAAAGTCAATGGTATAGTGTGGCATTGAAGTATGGGCAGTGATCTGAATCACTTTGTGCCTATTGCCACTTGGTACTACAATGGTAAACTAGGGTTTGTCATGCATGACCACATTAATTGAAAAACCCAGGTTTTGGTCCTCTCTCCTTACTGTCCAAAGCAAGTGGAAAATATAGTAAGAATTTTCCCACTTTTTAATGCCATGGCCATTGCCAAATATGGTTTCTTAATAATTCATGCTCAATGTCAACCCTAAATCCTCTACACCAACATCTGTCAATATGATAATACTAAACTAGCTGCATTCATTTCCCTCTCCACCCCCAACTCTTTCACTTGTTTGGTCAAAATAAGAGAGAAAATTCATACCATACATATTAATGGCTTCTTGTTGATTGATAAGAAGAAAAAGTTTCAATATTTAAAAAATTCAGAAAAGACAAACTCTATGGGAAGTTTGCAATAATTTCAGTCAACAAAAGCTTTTTTTTTTCCTCTGTCCAAACCGAACAATAGATCTAACTCTAACCTTTTCGCCTGAAAAGTTGCTTTTTTTAAGCCTCCATTTGGAATAAAAAATTATGATGCACTTGAACCATATCCTTCAATTGTTTCCAACTTATTTTTCAGTGATACTAGTCAACAATAGCACCCAACCAGGCATTGAATTGTCTTTTGGGTTAAAAAAGCTTTGAACTTTCACAACCATTTCTTTTTCTCTCTCTCTCTCTCTCTCTCTCTCCCTCTAAGGTAATAAACTTGCGGTTTAGACCGTGCGAAGTTGTTGTCCAAGAAAGACAGCGAGCAAGGCAACAACGAGGAAAAAAGATAAGGTTGGAGCTATGGATCCCACCAAGGCTAAAAATAAAAATTCAAAGCATGGAATCGATAAATTCATGTATGACAAGGGACAACCACAACGGCACACCCTTTATCACTTTTGAACATGTTTGTTATCAATTAAAAATTTACTAAAAGTACACAATTTATTAAGTAAGAAATATGATTTATAAAAATGATACTGATATGATGTTCAAGGTTCAATTAACTGATACAAGCTTCTCTGACGATCTTGAATTCTGTAACGGATGGTCATGACTTTTGTGATTTAGTATTATGGTTTGCTTTTTATCTGATCTGAGTTATCTCTTATTTAAAGAAAAAACATGTATTGATAATATTTGTGACAATATCATGTTCCACCTGTATAATCCAATTAATGTAAGGAAACTGCGGCATGAGGTCAACCCAGTTGTGGTTTTTGTTTTGTCCCTCTGATTGGTCAAAAGTCAAAAGCATGAAATTTCCAAGTTCATCACTCCTGAGGCATTCACATTCACACACCCACAATAGGCACTGGAAGCCATTGCATTGAATAGGGCGGTTAAATCCGCGGTTGACAGCTAACCTTCATGCGGAAATAGCGTTCCTTTCACACTTGCATTCTTGTTTTTCTCCTTTTCACGGGCTCTCTCATCTTTTCCTTTTGCTTCACCATCATCATCTTTCATCTGCCCCACTTTCCACAACTTCAACTTGTTTCTTATTTACTAACCCCCCTCTCTCTCTCTCTAGCTTCTGTGTTCTTCAGTTCTCTCTTCATGGGGTGCTGCTTCAGTGCCCAGATCAAAGCTGAGAGCCCTCCACGCAACGGTAATAAACATTCTTGCATGTGTTGTTTTCACTCTTCTCTGCCCCCTTTTGCTTTAACTTTTTAGATTGATCAGCTTGTTTAAATTCCTAGAGTTTGAATGACTTAACTAACTGCTGCGTTTGTGTTTTTGCTGTTCTTTCTGATAAAATACGGTTTCTGGGTACTTGAAACATGGATGTTATGTTAGTTTTGGCAGATTCATGCGTGGAAGCGGAAAGCTATTTTTGGACTTTTTTGTGCTTTCGAAGTATGATTCACTGATCGCAACACGAGGGTGACTTGCTTTAATTGGTTTTTTGTGCTTGCTTGGTAGTTTTTTGCTGTCGTGTAGGATTTGGTGAAGGTGCAAGAGTTTATGATGAAGATAAATAATAAGTGGAACCCTATTGTTGGCTTCTTGCAAAAGATTTTGGAAACAGTAAAAAATTGAATTTTTGATTTATTTAGTTTGGAACATTGAATGAGTCAATCCTCGTGTCAGGATTTTCCCACTGTCTTCGATTTAACTTGCCTTTTTCAGTTGTTAAGACGAAACCCAGGGCGAGAATTAGAATTGAAAATCTTCAACCCTTGGCGTGCTTTGTGAAATAAGTTCATGTAATTTTTGAAGTGTTGGATGTTTTAATGCTCTAACCAAACATTGCAATGTATAATTGGTAGGAAAGTTGTTGTCTTCTCTATGTAACCCTGATCGTGATCTTTCTATTCAAGCCTAAGCTTGATTTGTTACTATAGTTTAAAATGCTTATTTTATGGTCTGAAAAGTGAACTTTGTTTTTCTTTTGAAATGGGCAGGTTTGAGCTCAAAGGATGGTAACACAGAAGAGGATGGCTTAAGCGGCAAGATCTCCACTCCCTCCGTGCCTCCAACACCAAGGACAGAGGGTGAGATCTTGAAGTCCTCAAATATGAAAAGCTTCACCTTTGTTCAGCTAAAAACTGCTACAAGGAACTTTCGTCCAGATAGTGTGGTGGGTGAAGGTGGGTTTGGTCGTGTTTTTAAGGGGTGGATTGATGAGCAATCACTTGCACCAGTTAGACCAGGGACTGGATTGGTCATTGCTGTGAAGATGCTTAACCAAGAAGGTCTGCAGGGACACAGTGAATGGTTGGTGAGTGTCACTTAGTAGGGCTTGTTTACAATTTGAAACTTTGCTTGAAGCCTCAGAATTTAAGATGCAGTTTTAATGCTCTGGGAAATGCCAAAATTAGTTTCGATGGGTTTTTCTTTTTCTTTGAGGAATTCCTTTATTGGATACATGTAGCAAACATTAGTATTTTGGATGATTTTCTTTGTTTGTAATTAATTAGCCTTGTGCTATAGACAGAAATCAACTACCTGGGGCAGCTGCATCATCCTAATCTTGTGAAACTGATTGGTTACTGCTTAGAGGATCACCAAAGGCTTTTGGTGTATGAGTTTTTGACAAAGGGAAGTTTGGATAATCATTTATTTAGGAGTAAGTTATCCATTGTTTATCCACTGTGTGACATTGTTTATTTCCTTAAACATCTCAGTCTCTCAATAATGTGCTCTTTTTGGAACAGGAGGTTCTTACTTTCAACCACTTTCTTGGAACATCCGAATGAAGGTTGCTCTTGATGCTGCTAAGGGTCTTGCATATCTTCATAGCGATGAAGCAAAAGTGATATATCGAGACTTCAAAGCTTCTAATATCTTACTTGATTCGGTAAGCCAATCTCATTGAACTTATATTTTACTAATCATAACACACTCTTTTCTAACATTCCTTTTTGTTGATGACAGAATTACAATGCAAAACTTTCTGATTTTGGCTTGGCAAAGGATGGACCAGCAGGTGATGAAAGCCATGTCTCTACAAGAGTAATGGGCACTTATGGCTATGCTGCTCCTGAATATATTGCCACAGGTACCTCATTTGTTGAGTACTCAGTTTATGAGCACTTTAATTGGTCATACAAACTTCTTTAGATATAATATAATCATGTCTTCTAAATTATTCTGCACCAATCATGTAATAATTACCAGAAAGAAGAAACCCCCTTATTTGTTCTGTTTCAAACTATGGTGGAGCTTTTAAGCTTCTTTTTCACCCTTCATTAGTAAGCAACAATCTCACACAGCAGCACATTTCATTTCCCAATCACATCTTTCATTTTACTACTGAATTAGAATTTGGGCCTAGAGGTTCTATGCTTCAAGGCTCTTAGAATTTTTGGTAACATTTGTCATCAGTTGACTCGTTAGAAAATGATATACCATCAAAAGTTTAGTGCAAGTCATGTCCTAAAAGCAGTTAACTTGTTTACAAACATAGCAGGGTGAAATTGACTAGGGCATTTTGCTATGCTAACTGAAATTCAGACATCTCCCAAAGATACACTGTACAATCCATTCACTTTCACAAACACAAAGACTTCCGTGACTAAAAGGCATGAATAAGGTATAGCTCATGGTTATGTGGATATGATGTGATATGGCCACATAGCAAATTTTAAAAGCATAGTACACAATGCGACCAGTATGCAATACTAATAGTATTAATTGATAAAGCTCAAATCTTAAATGATAGAACTGATTTAAAGATGAGTATGTGTCATTCTAAGCTCAGTAGAATTGCATAATACATCTACAGATAATCTCATCTGTGTTACTATAGAAGTTTAAAACAAGTGAATAAAATTATAAAATGCAGTCAAAATGTCCATAAATTCTCACAAACAACTATGACATTAACATGATTATTATTTTGAAGTATTCAAAGTTCTTTTAAGGATTAGTGTTGACTCCAGTTCTTGTCATTTTGAAGTATTCAAACTGCAGGTAGAAGTTTTCTGACTTCTAAGTGTCCATAAATTGTCTGACGAATACCATCTCACATAAGTATGCCAGGAACTCAATTATTATTTCAAAGTATTCAAAGTGTTTTGAAATATCAAAGTTGAATCCTGTTACTATTATTATTTTGAGGTCTCAATGCTATGTCTGGAGTTCAAGTGTAAGTTTGAGTTTTTACATCGAGCATAAATGAGAGAGATACATAACATATAAATAAAAAGATCCAGAAACCTATTGTTGTAAGGTTTTGGATCGGAGGTAGTGTCATAATTACACTATAACGTCATGCATGATGAAACACTACATTTGAAGTCTCTTGAAGTGTTTAAATAGAATCAAAGTTGAGACCTTGCTCTTGTGTTTTTGTGAAGGTCACTTGACAAAGAAGAGTGATGTCTACAGTTTTGGGGTTGTTCTGCTTGAAATCATGTCTGGCAAACGTGCCCTTGACAGCAACAGGCCAAGTGGGGAGCACAATTTAATTGAATGGGCCAAACCATACCTCAGCAACAAACGCAGGATCTTCCAAGTCATGGATGCTCGCATCGAAGGCCAATACTCGACGCGCGAAGCCATGAAAGTAGCCAACCTTGCCATTCAATGCCTCTCTGTGGAGCCAAGATTTAGACCAAAAATGGATGAAGTGGTGAGAGCATTGGAGGAACTTCAGGATTCTGGTGAAAAAACTGTTGCAGGGGTGGGAAGCCATCGTCACCATCAAACTGGGAGGAGTGATCATAGCTCAAGAAGCAGTGGCTACAGACAACATAGAGGTAAACAACATGAAACAACAAAGTGAAAGTGCATGTTGGTTTCAAGTTATCTGATTTTGCTGGAGTTCGTAATTGTACGTGTATGTATATCATGATGAACTTCCACTTAAACTTGTCTTAAGATTTCTGATTGTTGTACAGTTGTTGATTCAGTAATAATATTCAAATTTTCATATTAGCGTTTTTTAAGCATGGTATTGATAAGAAATGATATTTTGACACATTAAAAGTACAAAAATTTACTTTTTATGACCATTTTACTCTTATAATATGTGTCAAATAAATATAAATGTGTATTATTTTACTATTTTATGACCATTAGTATTGGAATAATGGTAGGGTAACATATATTTATATTCATTTGATACAAATTATAAACCTAAAACGGTTATAAAAGAATAAAAGAGTAAAATTTTGTATTTTTAGTAAAGAAAAAAATGTAAAAAGTAAAAAAGGATAATATTAAATAAATGTAAAATTTTTGTGTCTAAGTATCATTTCTCTTGCTACTTATATGAATTATTCATTGCTTCAAAGAGGATATGAACGACACAGTATCTCATCTAAAAATGGTTTATTAAACATGTATTATAAAATTATGATATTATAACATTAAAATATGCATTATTCTTTATTTGTTATTATTATTATTCAATCAAAATTAATTAGTTAAAAAATCGGTCTCTCATAGAGATGTTGAACATAAATCTTATAAGGAAACATGGAATAAACTTACCTTACAAAATAACAGTTTAATACCTAACTGTAACATGCAAAGATAATAAATTTAGAAATTACTTGGAGAAGCAGAAGATATTTGATCTATTCTATTTTCAGTTTTTATGGTTTCAGTGGTGGAAGAGAGAAATTATTCTTATTCTACTGTGTTTTTTCTTTTTACTGCATAATTTCAATTGTGTGATTATTATATTAATGTTTATTGAGATTAAATTATTATTATATAACACTATTAATAATATTTTGATGTGATGAATAGAGAACAGAAACAATTTGTATTCCATATTTAACCTTATTTGACTGTGTAATCTCAATTGGAGCAAGCGTTGTAGCATGTATGTTCAACCATTTATTAAGAACAAAATTAAATAATTCAATTATTGTGAAACTAAAAGTAAAACAGTATAAATATCACCATTTTTGTAAATATAGTGACTTAAACTTAGAATTTACTGTAACAAAGTAAAATGGTTATTCTGTTTCAGAAATTATGAAATATGGTCAATATTATTGAACACTTTGATTTTCTAAAAGTTATTTATAGAATGAGTAAATTCTTTTTAAATTAGGCTCTAAAGTTAATTTGAATTGGAAAAAAAAATAGCAAACAGTTTTTTTTTTTAATTTGTTGCAACAACTTATAATGGAAGGGAGAAAGGGAAATAATTAAAACATGAAAATATAATCAATGTATAATTTTTTATTTGTTGAATAAATGTTCTACGATAAGGTACAGAAGAAACAGTGTTAATGACATTCACGTTTGACAGTAATAATAATAATAACTTTCTTGTTTTTTTCTAAAAAAAATTTAAATTACTATAAATAATAAGACTAAAACGAAAAGTAATTGCCTTGGCCAATTTTAATACTTGTGTCCAATATATCCATTATCACTGTTTTGTTAAAAAAAAATTTAAATGCTTACTTCAGATTCGATTTTAAAATTGAATCTAATAAGTCTTAAAGTTTTAAAAATTGTATAAATAAAGTCTCTTTCGTTAAATTAACCTAAATGAAGTTACGTCTATACTAACCTGAGTACACTTATTTATCTTTTCTTTGTTGTTATTGTCATCTTTTTCTCTCTCTTTTTTTCTCTTCCAATCAAGGTTTTTTTTATCCTCCTTCATATATTTATCACCCAAAGACCCTTCTTGAAACATTAAACTCCAAGGTTTTTTTATCTTCCTTCGTATATTTATCACCCAAAGAGCCTTCCTGAAAAATTCAACTCCAGTCATTAATTCAACCAATTCATCACAATTTTTCAATTCCAACACCCATGCCCATATTGCAATCCCTGCTAAATGAAAATTTCAGACCCTCCATAAACTACACATTACTTTAGACTCAACCACTTCCATCATCAGCACCCAAAGTCCCTCAATCCCTGGATCAAAGTTAAAAGAAAGAAAGGGTTTCACCTAGGCTGTCATGAGGGCGTGACTTGCTTGCCCTGATGTGGAGATGATGATTCGCGTTTTTGATGGTTGTGTGATTTTGGATCTGGATTGTTTGGTTTCTCTTCTTGCAGGTGCGAGGCGCGTGACTTTGATGGTGCATTTGATTCGCGCAGAAGATTGGGGATGGTGCGTGCTAACTTGACTGCACTTTTTTCTCTTTCCTTTGTTGTTATTGTCATCTTTTTCTTTGTCTCTTTTTCTCTCCCCAATCAAGGTCTTTTTTATTCTCCTTCATATATTTATCACCCAAAGAGCCTTCCTGAAACATTCAACCCCAAGGTTTTTTTGATCCTCCTTCGTATATTAATCACCCAAAGAGCCTTCCTGAAAAATTCAACCCCAGCCACTAATTCAACCAATTCGTCACAATTTTTCAATTCCAATACCCATTGCCCATAGTTGGCAATCCCTACTAATCAAAATTTTTTTTCCCAACTCTACATAAAAATACACATACTTTGACCAAACCACTTCCATCCTCAGCACCCAATCCCTAAATCACTGGATACAAGTTAAAAGAAAGAAAGGGTTTCACCTAGGCTGTATGAGGGCGTGACTTGCTTGCCCTGTTGTGGAGGATGATGATTCGCGTTTTTGAGGTTTGTGTGATTTTGGATCTGGATTGTTTGGTTTCTCTTCCTTGCAGTGCGAGGCGCGTGACTTTGATGGTGCATTTGATTCGCGCAGAAGATTGGGGATGGTGCGTGCTAACTTGACTGCATTTTTTTCTCTTTCCTTTGTTGTTATTGTCATCGTTTTCTCTCCCGAATCAAGGTTTTTTTGATTCTCCTTCATATATTTATCATCCGAAGAGCCTTCTTGAAACATTCAACCCCAAGGTTCTTTTGATCCTCCTTTGTATATTAATCACCCAAAGAGCCTTCCTGAAAAATTCAACCCCAGCCATTAATTCAACCAATTCGTCACAATTTTTCAATTCCAATACCCATGGCCATATTGCATCCCTACTAAATCAAAATTCTAGACTTTCCATAAACTACACATTACTTTTGACTCAACCACTTCCATCATCAGCACCCAAAGTCCCTCAATCCCTGGATCAAAGTTAAAAGAAAGAAAGGGTTTTCACATAGGCTTGCATGGAGGGCGTGATCTTGCTGCCCTGTGTGGATATGATTTGATTCGCGTTTTTGATGGTTGTGTGATTTTGGATCTGGATTGTTGGTTTCTCTTCTTGCAGGTGCGAGGCGCGTGACTTTGATGGTGCATTTGATTCGCGCAGAAGATTGGGGATGGTGCGTGCTAACTTGACTGCATTTTTTTCTCTTTCCTTTGTTGTTATTGTCATCGTTTTCTCTCCCGAATCAAGGTTTTTTTGATTCTCCTTCATATATTTATCATCCGAAGAGCCTTCTTGAAACATTCAACCCCAAGGTTCTTTTGATCCTCCTTTGTATATTAATCACCCAAAGAGCCTTCCTGAAAAATTCAACCCCAGCCATTAATTCAACCAATTCGTCACAATTTTTCAATTCCAATACCCATGGCCATATTGCAATCCCTACTAAATCAAAATTCTAGACTTTCCATAAAACTACATAATTTGACTCAACCACTTCCATCATCAGCACCCAAAGTCCCTCAATCCCTGGATCAAAGTTAAAAGAAAGAAAGGGTTTCACCTAGGCTGTCATGAGGGCGCAACTTGCTTGCCCTATTGTGGAGATGATGATTCGGGTTTTTGATGGTTTTGTGATTTTGGATCTGGATTGTTTGGTTTCTCTTCTTGCAAGTGCGAGGCGCGTGACTTTGATGGTGCATCTGGTTCGCACAGAAGATTGGGGATGGTGCGTGCTAATCTGATTGCATTTTTTTCTCTTTCCTTTGTTGTTATTGTCATCTTTTTCTCTCCCCAATCAAGGTTTTTTTTATTCTCCTTCGTATATTTATCACCCAAAGAGCCTTCCTTAAACATTCAACCCCAAGGTTCTTTTGATCCTCCTTCGTATATTAATCACCCAAAGAGCCTTCCTGAAAAATTCAACCCCAACCATTAATTCAACCAATTCATCACAATTTTTCAATTCCAATACCCAATGCCCATATTGCAATCCCTACTAAATCAAAATTCCAGACCCTCCATAAACTACACATTACTTTTGACTCAACCACTTCCATCATCAGCACCCAAAGTCCCTCAATCCCTGGATCAAAGTTAAAAGAAAGAAAGGGTTTCTCCTAGGCTGTCATGAGGGCGTGACTTGCTTGCCGTGCTGTGGAGATGATGATTCACGTTTTTTATGGTTGTGTGATTTTGGATCTGGATTGTTTGGTTTCTCTTCTTGCAGGTGCGAGGTGCGTGTCTTTGATGGTGCATCTGGTTCGCACAGAAGATTGAGGGTGGTGTGTCTGCCTTGAAAAGCGACACGATTTAGGTTGGTGAAGGTTTCACAATGGAGGTTGTTGCGCGAGAATGATAGAGAAAGGGGTGGGTCGGTGGTGTCCTGGTTACACGAAGCTATGGGGGTTTTTGGTGAAGAAGATGAGTGTGGCGGCTTCGCGATTGAGGTTTTTCTGATTGCAGGTCTGTGTTGATGGTGGTAAGGCGAAATAGGGTTTGATGGCGGTAAGATGATCAGTGGTGGTGCTAGGTTGCGATGGTGGCTTGTGGTGGTCCACTTTCCACAACACACCTCTCTCCATTCCTATCCTCTCCCTGTTCCTCCTCCTCCACTTCTACATCCCCATCACCACTGCTCAAGACCAGTTCTCCCTCATCACCACCAAATTGCAAAAAGAGAAAAAGAAAAAAAAGTGTCCGTTTATGAAAATTATGAAAATCATTAATATAAAATATAAAAATGTTAAACATTGCAGAAAAAACATATGAGAGAAAAGAAAATAAGTCAGATTTTATAACACAGACTTAACTTCGTTTATGCTAATTTAATGGAAGGAACTTTATTTATACAATTTTTACAAATTTGAGACTCAATAGATTTAATTTTAAAAAGGGATACTAAACAGAAATTCACTTCTTAATATGAAGACGAAGTAAGTATTTAAGTCTTAAAAAAATAAGCTAAAAATATTAAATTAATTTATCATGCATTTAATATCATTATTTTCCTTTTTATATAAAACTCACTCTAAACAAAAGACAATTTATAATTCATTACATATATATATATATATATATATATATATATATATATTGTAAAAATAATTCCTTTTACCTTTTTATTTAACCAAATATATTTATTCTATTAAATTTCTCACATGTTTTTGCCTTTTTTTCTTTACTTACCTCACTCTCTTTTTTTACTCCCATACCAAACAAAGCCTTAAAATTTTAACAAAATTCAAATTTTTATTCTTCTTATTCTCACACATTACCCTATTGCAATTTCAATAAATATTATATATCAATCAATCACATAAATCGAACTAAAATTAAAAAAAATTATATATAACTCCAAAATTCAAAGTAACTCTACAAGATCTCTTTTTTGAAGAATTTTTTTTTTCCAAGCAACCAAAGACTGAAAAAATAAGCATTCCGAAAAAATACTCCAAAAGAATGGTTGGAAAAGGTTTTTGTTTTGTGTTTGATTTATCGTTGTAATTTTAATTATTATTTTTAAAAAAAGTACAAAGTAAGGATTTAAGGTTTAAGGATTTAAGCAGCAGTTTTTTTCTTCTTCATTTTGTGAGTTTTCATTATCTTCTTGTCATCTCATGCCAAAAAGAGTGAAGAGGCAAAGGTAAGATTGAACTACCCTCCAATCCAATGCTGGCGCTGATTCAGAACTGCTCCATGCCACTCGCACGTACGGTGCGACCTCCGTCTCGCACGCAGGTGCAACCTTATTTCTCGTCCGCTGTGCGTGCATCCATGTCCCCACGTGTCAAATCCCCCTCTCAGGTTCTCCTTGGTTTGTCAGAGAAGGAGCTGGAACAGCTTGCCCTTAACTGCGGTCAGGTAAATTTATCATCTTTTTCCAATTTAATTGGAGCAAAACATAAATGAAAAAAAAAAATTAATTTCTCGTTTTTTGGCTCGATTTTTTCAGGAAACCTACAGGGGCAAGCAACTTTATCATTTCTTATACCAGAGGAAGTTTAGAGAAATTAAGGATTTCTATCAGTGTGGGTTTATTATTATTTTTCTACTCTTTTTTATTCATTCCCTTTTGTCTGTTTTTATGTTTTATTTAATTATGGTTGTGTTATGGTTTTCTTACATAGCAGTGCCTCAGGGTTTTAGGAATAATCTTGAAGAAGCTGGATGGAAGGTGGGGCGGTCTCCTATTTTCGAAACTGTAACTGCAGCTGATGGAACTGTTAAGGTGAGGAGTGAAATCATAATTCAACACAAAGTTTTAAATTGCGGTTGTGGTTTCGTTTTTATATATTTTGATGGTTTCTTGTTTAATTGGCCGTTTTATGTTTCAAGATGTTCTATTGATGATGCAATGTTGATTTTTTGTGGACGAGTTCTGAATTATTTTGGCAATGATTTTTTTTTTTCTTTTGATGATATACTTGGTACTTGCAAAAAGTAGGATGTTGACTTGCTCTTTGAGGAATTTGATTTTGGGGGTATCCTTGGCTTCTTACACTTTTAGGGTTGGCTTGGCATTTGATTTTGCAGTTGTTGTTAAAGTTGGAGGACAATAGATTGATTGAAACTGTTGGCATTCCAGTTACGGATGATATAGGTTTGAGTCGCCTCACGGCATGTGTCTCATCACAGGTGCTTCACTGGTTTCTAAATATTTAAATAACTAGCTGATGTTTTACCTCTTTCCTGGAGTATTTGATCTGGAAACTAATTTTTATTCATGTGATAATTAAGTGCTGATGTTTCCATTTTGTTGTTAATGCCATCTGTTGTTTGGATATTAGGTTGGTTGCCCTTTACGCTGCTCCTTTTGTGCCACTGGAAAAGGGGGGTTTTCAAGGAATCTTCAGAGACATGAAATCGTTGAACAGGTTTGTGTCATATCCATCCATGTTTGTCCATCAAAGCAGTTTGATGTTAGTTTATAGCAGGGTTGATGAGATAGTGCCTCTGTGATTAATTTAAAGAAATTATAAAAGAGAAAGTAAAAAGAATGTATAAAGTAAAGATAAGAGGCTTTGATTTAGGATTGTTAATGTTCTGAAACAAGCTTGACCTGGTTTTCTGCAAGACAGGGATAAAATTCATCTTATGTGAACAGGTCTTGGCCATTGAGGAGGTCTTCAAGCATAGGGTGTCAAATGTAGTGTTTATGGGAATGGGTGAACCAATGTTAAATCTGACGGCAGTACTTGAAGCACACCGTTGCTTGAATAAGGTGAATAAATATGTGACATTATTTCCTTCTGAAGGCTTACTTGAAATTTGAAGTTGTAAAAATCGTCTATGAGATTGAGAGATCAACCTTTCATGTATTTGTATAATATATTTTTTATGAAGACTTTCCAGACTTACTTTATGCCACATGTGAATGCATATGTAATTCATCTTCAATACAAGTGCAAAGTTATATGCATACATTTCTCTCTCCTTCAAAACTTCAAGTAATCACATTGTCTGCATAAAATTTGTCCTTTGTTTCTGTTTCTATTTTTCATTGTATTGTGATAAATTATTATAGTAAGTTTTTATTGTATATATGTTTTACTGTGTTTCTTTTAGGATGTGAAAATTGGGCAAAGAATGATAACCATCTCCACTGTGGGCGTTCCAAATACAATAAAGAAACTTGCTTCTCACAAACTTCAATCTACCTTAGCTGTGAGGTAATTACCTTTGATATGAATACAATTTTGACTTGCCATTAATTTTACCTTCATGCTAAGCTAGACGTCAGGTAGCAAACTGACATTTGTACCTGTATTCGGACCTTTAGGTTGCCAGCCCTGTATCTTGAATTTTCATATTATTAGTTTTTAGTCAATGCAACTTCGTAATATTTCCAAATTTGGGGATAAAATTTGAACTTTCATGAGTCTATCTATCTTTCATTTTATTATTTCGTAATTTTCTCCAAAACCTAAATTTTGGCGGCTGCTCAACCACAGGCATTATTAGAATGTTGCAAGTGCACTTTCTATTTAGTTGAAGATATAAACTTTAAAATGACATTTCTCTTCTATCACTTTCTTTTTTGTAGAATGCTGTGAATTGCTAAACTGATCTCTTCCCCGCCTGCTTTAAAATCATAAAATAAAAAGAAAAATAATTCGTTGTCAACTATTTTGGATTTGTGGCCAGAGTATAGCATTATTCTGAGCTTGTGTATAATTTCAGATAGCTTTTTAATGGATTCTTTTTTATCCATATATATATATATATATATATATATATATATATATGTATATTTCTATTATGTGAATTTTCTTTTGTGTTTTGTATCAGCCTGCATGCTCCTAATCAGAAACTTAGGGAGACAATTGTTCCAAGTGCGAAATCCTACCCTCTGGATGCACTTATGTCAGACTGCAGTGATTACTTTCGGCAAACCAACAGGCGGGTTTCCTTTGAATATGCACTTTTAGGTATTGAAAGTTCTAATACATACTATTTACTTCTCTTACTAAAAGGTTGTGTAATCCTTATAATTCTAATTGCACATTCATGGCACAATGTTTTGAGTAGCTGGAGTCAATGACTCGGTAGACCATGCAGCAGAACTTGCTGAGTTACTCCATGGAGCGGGCAGTGGATATCATGTCAACTTGATACCTTTCAATCCAATAGAGGACTCTGAGTATAAGCGTCCTTCCAAGAGAGCAGTATGATAATTTTCTTGTCATTTTTAACACACAATTTAGTTCGTGCCTTGAGTCATCTTTGTAAATTTGGTTGTTTAATCTAAAAATTCTAATTGGCTAGGTGCTAGCATTTTCTGGCGCTTTGGAGTCTGCTAAAATAACTGTCAGTGTTCGTCATACAAGAGGGTTGGATGCAAATGCAGCTTGTGGCCAGCTACGGAACAAGTTCCAGAAAACTCCTCTGGTCACCGACCCTATTGGTCTTGGAGTAAGCTGTTGATTGCACAATGTCTCTTTCTTGGCTGTTGATTTTACCTACATGCCTGTATGTCATACATACAGTAACAAGTTTGCAGTAAGCAGTTGGTGAGAGGCTTGATGAGCCAAAAGATGAGCATAATATCTACTATTGTTATGTATGATGAAGGTGTTTACTGTTGCTGCATCAGTTGGCAATTTTGCTGGATCATATAGGGCTTCGAAATTTTTGCTGGATCATGATGGCTACACTGAGAGCAACACGTTATGAAACAGCAGAGTTAGACCTAAAAGGCAAAGAGGGAGAGATTTTCCTATGTGTCTGACCTCTTGTTGCTGTAAAAACATGCTTATTTTTCTTGTTGTAAGATGCACACTTTCCCAGTAGAAAATAACAGAGTAACAATTTAAAAGTACTATCTTGTTTTGAGATGTACCAAAATATATTTGTTAATGAGGTTGTTTAAATGAAGCAAATTAGCTATTGTTTAATATTCATTTTGAGAATTTTTGTCGTTCATATACTTATTCGATTTGAACATGGAAAAGGGGAGCAACAAATTGTAAAAGGATATCTTTGGTTTGGGAACATCAATCCTTGGAAATCAATGAAATAAATAATTTGTAATAACGTAATAAAAGAAAACTATTAAAAATTTAAAGTTCTAATATTTTATCAAATAGAAACATTTAAAACAAAGGTGAACCTCTTGTTGAACCAAAATAAATACATCTATAAATAGTTTTTGGAAGTAAATAAAATATTTTAAAAGTAATAGCACACTTTCAATTAAATTATTTATCTTTTTTTACTATTTTTTGTATAAAACTTTGATTTGCATGTACCTGGGCTAAAACTAGTTATAAATTCTCCTTAAGTACCAGAAAAAATACGTTATATACCACAGCAAATAATTGTTTCCAGCTTATTAAATATTTTCTCAGGTTTTAAAAATTAAAGTAAATCTAACTATTTGTCATCCCTTCAAAAAAGAGACCAGTTTTAACTTTACTTCCATTTACTAAAATCTGAAACTAACCATTGATTTTTTCTTTAAATCTAACAATTTGTTAACTAAATATAATTTTTTTTATATCAATTGTTAATTAAAAGTACCATTTTTAGTTTAAAAATGCTACTAATTTGTTATTTAAAACTACTAATGTTAAAATTTAAAAAATATGCCGATTTTTAATGAAGTTTCCAAGGATTTATTACTATCCTTTTGTTTTAAACCTTTTGCGTACAACGTGATGTTTGTAATATTGGTTCCTACTTTTATGGGTTTGGTTCAAAGTAATTCTATCTTTTAAAAAAGTTTAGTAAGATCTTATAATTCGTTATAAAATGTTCAATCCGGTCATTTTCGCTCACGCCGTTAAAAACATAACGGTGCAAATGTCATCGTGGCCAAACGTGAGTGAGTTGTGCAGTTTGATGAATACGTGACACTTTTGAAGAGGTTGCATTGTGTAAATATTTTAAAAGAATTAAAATGATGTAAGTTAGCTGCAAATCCCAACAGCCACCACTGTCGGATCGACACCGGTAGGGAACCGCACCGACGTATCCCGGTGGGTGCTGGAGGGAATCCGGCGAGACTCGAGGGCACGGGGAGCCACTAGCTGGATATCCTCAACGACGGCAGCAGCGAGGAGGGAAGAACGTGTGGCCTCCGACGGCTTGTGTGCGAAATAAGAAGCAACCCTAAGCTACATTCCAGAACAATTTGAGAGAGTGCGCAAGAGAGAAACAACCACTTTTTGTCCTCCACCATGAGTGTAGTGAGTAATAGAGAGAAGACGTTGAGTACCAAGGAGTTGTGTAGGGGCCCTTGTTGTGGTCACGGGATTTTCTAGGAACCAAGGGGCCTTTAAAGAATTCACTGGAAAACCCAGATAAGGGGAGTTAACTTTTTGATGTATTGATTGAGCATGATGTGTTTCCTTTGAAACTTGTTAATCTTGAGAAACAATATGGATAGATAGTATACCAAATTGGAAGGTTGTGGGTTGCTAAGGAAAAAAAATGGTATGAGATGTTATTCCGAGAATATGCACAGGTTGAAGGATTATAGTGCATGTGGTTTTGTAGTAAGGGATAAGTGCATATCGTGAATCTTTGGAGGGTAGCCGTGGGTTGGCTAGGTTAAGAATGTAAATAAGAGTAAGAAGTGTTAACGTGTTGTATGAGTGAAATATGACAATAGAGTGCATTGGTGATGAGTTGTGTTCTCAATAGAGATACCAACATGGGTTTATGGGTATAATAAATTATTATTTTGTAATTGCATGAAATGTTTGATGGGTATTAAATGCATGGAAGTGATATAAATGTGGAGTATTGTAATGTCATCACATAACGGTATGAGTGCATGTTTTTTTTTTTGCAAGTGAAGAGTTTCAATGCATGTGGGGGCCAAGGTAAGATGAAGAGAAATATTATATTTTCTTCTTGTATAGTGTAGACGTTGGAATCCAAAGAGTTAGAAGGGGTTCTTGATATTGACATTTAATGGTTTTCGTGGTACCTACCTTGAGAGGGAAATCATAATATGGTTAATACCAAGTGCATGAAATTGTTGTTGTGCATGTGCTGCTATGTCCCTTGTTAGATAGGTAAAATATGCAAATGATATTCGGGGGTTGCATGAGTGGATTATAAGAATGGTGAAAGGTTACNTGGGTTTATGGGTATAATAAATTATTATTTTGTAATTGCATGAAATGTTTGATGGGTATTAAATGCATGGAAGTGATATAAATGTGGAGTATTGTAATGTCATCACATAACGGTATGAGTGCATGTTTTTTTTTTTGCAAGTGAAGAGTTTCAATGCATGTGGGGGCCAAGGTAAGATGAAGAGAAATATTATATTTTCTTCTTGTATAGTGTAGACGTTGGAATCCAAAGAGTTAGAAGGGGTTCTTGATATTGACATTTAATGGTTTTCGTGGTACCTACCTTGAGAGGGAAATCATAATATGGTTAATACCAAGTGCATGAAATTGTTGTTGTGCATGTGCTGCTATGTCCATTGTTAGATAGGTAAAATATGCAAATGATATTCGGGGGTTGCATGAGTGGATTATAAGAATGGTGAAAGGTTACAGGCTAAGGTTTTCGTTGTACAAATTTTAAATTTTGGGTCTATAAATGGGTCTAAGGAAGCTAAAAGAGTTTTCTTTGAAGATATAAAGATTGATGTGAGAGGTGCAGAGGTTATCTAATGACGGTTTTATTGTTAATAAGCAATGATTTTTTGTTTTAGTTATATTGATGTCGTCCTAGTGAAATATCTAGTGTTATGAGTTTTGAAAATTATATAATTATTGAGTTATTATTGAGTAAAATCTGGATGTGAGTGTATAAAATTGGTGCATTGTTGGGTAGCATCCAGAGAAATATTTTCTCTCTAATCAATACATCAATATCTCTCTCTTTAATAATTTACATTTCTCTCACTGCATTTAATTCTTCAAACAGTTATTTTCGTTTCTCTCTTTACATTTAATTCTTTGAGCTACATATTCATCAAACTACACAACTCACTCTCAAGTTTAACTAATGAGACATTTATACCGTTATATTTTTAACCCCTGAACATTTTAACGAAATACGAGTTTTATTAAACTTTTTTAAAAGATATAATCCCTTTTAACCAAACTCCTAGGAACCAAACTCCCTGGAACCAAACGATGTTAAACCTAATATTTATTATTTCACGCTCTGCCGTGTGACTTGCACAAACCCCATCAACCACCGGGTGAGACCGGCCATAGCACAAATCCCTCCGATTCCGGTGACAGATCTGCACGCTGCAGTAACTTAGTGCTATTCTGCAGCAACTCAGCCGCGACTGTGCACGTCTTCGCGGCCGTTCTGCCGCAACTTCGTCGCTGATCTGGTGCAACTCTGCGACGACTCTACCGCTGTCTTCTGTAACTGCGCAGTGAGTCCGCAGATGATTCTCCACTGATATGCTGAGTTGTAAGTGACACTATTTCTCTCCCTTCCTTCCTATTGGCCGTGCATTTTGTGTGTCTCTATTGTTGAGATTAATCTGAATATTATAACTGTAATAACTGTCTATTGACAGTTAAGTCTTCTTTACTGTGTTTTGTTTAAATACTGTTGTTTTGTATTCATTTGTTAATGAGAAAAGCTCTCACTTTCTCTAGCTCTCTCTTCCCTCTGTATTCTTTCATTATCTGCATATTTCCCACTTCTGCATAATTGTTCTCAGGTCATAACAGTGGTATCCAGAGCTTCAGGTTGCTGAACCTGGTGGAGTGGCTTACAAACAAAAGAATCGTTTAAGTGAAGAAGGCTTCACGTTGAAAGGTGATGGCAGGAATGATTCAGAGTAATTTGCCGGTGTTCGACGGAAAAAATTATGATGACTGGTGCGTGAAAATGAATGCTATCTTAGGCTTTCAAGAAGTTGATGAAATTGTCAAGAAAGGGTTTAAAGAACCTGCGAAGGGAGACAAAGAAGAAATAAAGAAGGTTTACAAAGAGAACAAGAAGCTGGACTGCAAAGCACGTATGCTACTGCACCAGTGTATCTCTGCAACGATATTTCAGAAGGTGTCTAAGGCAGAAACAGCCAAAGAAGCCTGGGACATATTACAAGACGGATATGGAAACTCAGGGAGAATAAAGAAGGTAAAACTTCAATCACTACAGAGACAATATGAACTCTTGAGCATGGGAAAGCAAGAAACAATTGAAGATTACATCGGCAGAATTCAGGTGGTTATCAATGCAATGCGAGCATGTGATAAAGTAGTCAAAGATAAGAAGATAGTTGAAAAGATCTTGAGAACATTAACGCCTCATTATGATCATATTGTGGTGGCCATTGAAGAAAGTAAAGATCTGGAGAAAATGAAGGTAGAAGAATTGCAAAACTCTCTCGAAGCCCATGAGCAAAGGTTAATAGAAAGAAGGAACTTAGAACAAAATGAGGCACAAGGAACGAACCAGGCGCTGCAAGCAAGAAGCAATCAAAGCTTCAAGAATCGTGGGAGAGGAAGAGGAAGATCACGCGGAGGAAGCAGTGGTGGCAGAAATTCGAAATTTTCAGATCAAAACAGTGATAGCAATGGCGGTGAGCAGAAGAATGGAAGTTGGCGAGGGGGCAGACATTCCAGTGGTAGAGGCCGAAAAGGGTATGATAAAAGAAACATCCAATGTTTCACATGCAGCAAATACGGCCATTAATTCCTCGGAGTGTTGGCACAATGAAGATACGAAGAAACCAAGAATGGAGAGTCAGCCAATCTTGCGCAAGAAACTGAAGAATCGGAGTCTGACCACGTATGTTGGATGAGCACAGTGGAACGTTCGGAAAAAGACAATGTGAGAAATTGACGTTGAACAGGGTGTAAAGCAAGAAATTTTTCGGTGGACAGGTGCAATGTGTCAATCATAGAAGAAGGTGGAAACAGGTGTCGTCTTCGACGAAACGAGACATGCAGACATGAAC